TCTATTTCCCATGAAGTGATGGGACCAGATGCCATGATCTTAGTTTTCTGAATGTTGAGCTTTAAGCCAACTTTTTCACTCTCCTCTTTCACTTTCATCAAGAGGCTTTTTAGTTCCTCTTCACTCTCTGCCATAAGGGTGGTGTCATCTGCATATCTGAGGTTATTGATATTTCTCCTGGCAATCTTAATTCCAGCTTGTGCTTCCTCCAGCCCAGCATTTCTCATCATGTACTCTGCATATAAGTTAAACAAGCAGGGTGACAATATACAGCCTTGACGTACTCCTTTTCCTATTTGGAACCAGTCTGTTGCTCCAAGTCCAGTTCTAACTGTTGCTTCCTGACCTGCATACAGGTTTCTTACTCCACATCTATTTCTGAGTTTCTAAAAACGGTCACAATTATTCAAATTGTTCCTACTTACAAACGTCCGGCGTTTTTACTGCATTTGTTGTTGTTCAGTCTCAGTCAGGTCCGACTCTTTGCGACCCCATGGACTGCAGCATTCCAGGCCTCCCTGTCCATCACCAACTCCCAAGTTTACTCAAACTCATGTCCATCGAGTCAGTGATGCCATCCAACCATCTCTCCTCTGTCGTCCCCTTCTGTCCTCAATCTTTCCCAGCATCAGGGTCTTTTCTAATGAGTCGGCTGTCCTTATCAGGTGACAAAAGTATTGGAGCTTCAGTTTTAGTCCTTCCAATGAATATTTAGGGTTGATTTCCTTTAGCATGGACTAGTTTGATCTCCTTGTAGTCCAAGGGACTCTCAAGAATCTTCTCTAGCCCCACAACTTGAAAGCATCAATTCTTCAGCGCTCAGCCTTCCTTGGTTCCTTAAGTAGTTTGTTGTATGAATCAACAAACACACTTTTGGAAAGTGATATATAATGTCTAGAAACCTAACACTTGTTCATTGCTAAGTCGTGTCCAACTCTTTGCGACCCCATGGACTGTAGCTGCCAGGCTCCTCTGTCCATGGGATTTCCCAGGCAGGAAGACAGGCGTGGGTTGCCAGGCCCTCCTCCAAGGGATCTTCCTAAACCAGGGATGCACCTCACATCTCCTGTGTTGGCAGGTGGATTCTCTACCACCGAGCCACCTGAGAAGTCCAGAAACCTAATACATTTGTTGAAATAATTTTCAGTGAAAGAAAATCCTGACTCACAGACATAAAAATTAGCTCATGTTAAAGGTGCTATTTACTCATTAATAAAAGGGGAACCAGGCAGATGGTCTAAGCAACTTGGATGACAGACACATGGAAAGGTCACTGAGACTGAAACCAAAGTGGGAAAACCTGGTTTCCCCAGGGGAGGGGAGGGGAGGTGGGTTTTCCCCACCTGCCCACTTGGTGGAGCCTGGCTGACAGTGACAAATCGGATGCCCTCTGCACAACGCAGAGCTTTCCACTGAAGCATAACGTTTCTAGTCTAAATCACAAGCTCCAACACTGGACTTGAGCCTCACTTAGCATTCTCGCCGCCTCATCGGCGTCTTCCTGGAAGGATGAGACTGTCACACAGTTCCAGATGTGAGGAAGCTGACGCTCGGGCCGCATCCTCCGACACGTCACAGGAGGGACCGCATGTGCACGGACACATCGCAGTGGCCACAGGAGCCCAGCACGGGCTGGCTTCCTGCCTGTCTCCACACTAATGCTGGGGGATCTCGGCAGGACGGGTGCTTCCCGCTGGGACGTCCTTGGGACACGGTGGCCACGACCTTGGCTGCACAAACCCGCCTCTCCCTTTGGGCAGCGGGGGAGCTCTGCACCCGACCTGGCTGCTCCGCGGGCCGGACGTGCTTCCTGGCCAGGCGCCACTGAACTCTGGGCCGCGGCTCAGGGGACACGCCGGCCGCGTCTGGCTGTGGGTCACGGGCGGTGCTGCTTTAATGGAGAGTGGGAGTTCAAGATTCGCCCCCTGGACCCGCGGCCCGGACATGACCGATGAGGCTCTCAGAGGTGCCCTGAAGCCCCGCACGCATGCCACCCAGCCACACACATGTCCCGGCCAGCGTGTGCAGCCCGTTAGAGGACTTAGAAGGTCGTCTCGGAGGCGCCCAGCCCTGCACAGCTGGGCTGACCCGGGCCCCTCTGCAGCCTCCCCTGACCGAGGCCCAGCCCTGCCTTCTGCACAGACAGCCTCTAGTGGGCGAGGGAGGCAAGGGCAGGCGCCAGGACACATCCCCAGGCATGTCTGAGGCTCTCCAGGACACGGGGCCCAGCCCAGGGGACCCAGGGACCCAGGGCAGGAACGCATGGACAGGGAGGGCCAGAGCCCCCTTCCCAGCCCTACACCCCTTACCCACAGCAGCCCTGCTCTGTGGCCTTACACCTCAGGACCTCCAAGTTTCTGTTCAAGTCTCCGCCGCCAAGAAGTTCCAAACAGCGGTCTTTGAGATCTGAGGGCCGCGTTTCTGTAACCAAGAAGTGCAAGAGGGGTGGCAAAGCCGGGTCCCCCTGGGCCCTGGGCTCCAGGCTCCTGGGTTTCCTCGAGGCTCCAACTCTTCATGCACGACACTAGTCCCACTGGTGCAAATGTCGGAGGGGATGCCTTCTCTCCTGGGGCGAGGCTGCTCCCACCGGGGACCAGGGTGGGCTCTGTGCTGACCCAAGCTGGCCGGCCATGCTGACCACTGCGGAAACATCTTAACGCTGAAACCCAGGAGAGGAGCGGCTGGCGACCCCGTGCCAGCAGGAGCCCGTGAGAGGACAGGGTCTTGGCTGCCACGCAGGGACCACCGGGGAGCAGGCGGCCAGCACTCAGCCTCCCAGGCGGCTGCGCCATCGAGGAGGGTGGACTCGGGGTGCCCCCGCCCTACAGGCCCAGGTGTCCGACTCACTGGACGCCCACACCTGGCCTCCAGAGCCAGGGAGGGAGCCCAATCTGGCGGGCCCCCAGGGCTGAGTGCTTGCTGCCCGAACACCCTGACCACACGCAGGGGGGATGTCGAGGGCCTGGCGGGGAGCAGCGGGGCCCTCGGGGCGGAGGGGCACGAGGCAGACCTGACAGAGATATGGAGGCCTCGGGAAGGGGGTCTTCATGCACGGGGCGGCGCGTGGATGGGGCTGGGGAGGATCCACCCGCTGGCGGGGCAAGACTCGCGGTGAGAGACTCAGAGAAGCTGAGGCACCCAGCTGGCATTTGCCACGGCAGCACCCAGGTTTCGAGGAGGCCCTGGCTGGGCAGAGGTCCCAAGCAGCAGAGTCCTGCTAATGAAGACAGTGGCCCCCCAGGCGTGTCTGGGGTGGGGAGGGCTCCACGGTGCCCTCCCGGGAGTCTGGACCACGTCCTGCAGGGCTCGGGGGCAGGCCTTCCAGGGGCCCACCCCTCCTTCCCCTTGGACAGCTTCCTCCCCAGGGAAGGGTGTCCAGGCCCCCCGGGTGTGGACGTGCAGACCATGATCCTGTGTGAGCCCTGCCCCCGAGGACCAGCACACAAGGGGCAGAGCTCCCACCCCTGCCTCCCTCCTCCTGCTCGGGGTCCAGCCAGAGGCCTAGATGTGGACACAAATGCCCGACGGGCTGACGGTGGTCATTTTCAACCCTGGCCTGGAGCCCGGTGAGCCGCTGATGACAGGGTCCTGGGGTGAGTCATACTCAGACGTCAAGCGTGAACCAAAAATACGATGCCGGCAATTAGGGCTCCCAAGCTCGGGGAGAGAGGCCCTCCAGCCCCGGGCGGCCCGGTGCCCTGTCTGTTATTAGAAAAGCTAAAATCTTCTCCACCCACACAGCACGGAGACTGGCCCTGGCAACCTTGATCTCAGCCCAGGCCGCCCACTGCCCACTGCACAGTGCTGGCGTGGCAGGTCCAATCCTGCCCGTTTCCTGGGAACGGCGATGTGGGCTGGGGTGCGGCTGGGGAAGGAGCCGCCCAAGTGCGTTCCCAGGAGAGCAGATGCCAGTGTCTGCGTTGTCAGAGACGCCCTGGAAGGGAAGGCCCAGGCGGCCCCACCTTCCCGTGATGTGAGAGCAAGTCCCCCCGGGGCTAGGGGCACGCTGACGGCAGGAGCCGGAGCCCAGGAGAGGCCGCGAGATCCTGCCCACAGGCTGCTCCCATGGGTCAGGGGTCAGTCCACCAGGAGGGGCATCGTCCAGAAACCCATC